TGCCATACTAAATTTGTATATATGAATGCTACTTTTCTTGATTTGTTTTCTACACCTGAAGTCCTGAGCTAAGATCTTGAGACTTTAAAGAGGAATATATACAACAACACCAACAAACTGTTAGAGAGGTTTCCGGCAGACCCTTGATGCATTGCTGCATTTACTTTCCAAAAATTCATAGAAAGTAAGAAGCAATGGAAGTTATATGTGCCGTTTTGATTTAGCCCTTTATTTACATTAAGAATTAAAGAGGGATATATGTCTTATTATATTCATCTAAGTGGCACTAACATTTGTAACAAATTGTTCTTCTGTTGTTGCTAATAAAAGCAAGAGTTGTTAATTTCGAACCCTTTACTTCATAGTTCACTCATTTTTTTTTCCTGGGACAAATTCACTCAGTTCGAATAAAATTACTATATTTAATTTTTAGTTCAATATTGTGAACTAAAAACTAGTTTGTATTATGGGTTACACATAAATTAAACTTAAATGCGGGAGAGGAGGCTTATTTATTATTGCAATTTTCTTTGTTTCATATATTACTCGTTATTTGCTACTCCCTCCGTCCCCCTAAGATCTTCTCATTTTGACTTTTGGTGGTTTTTAAGGAGAGTTGAAAAAAGGTGAAAGTTTACCATAATACCCTTAATGAAAAATGGGTGGAGTGTATTAAATGAGGTGGGTGAGGTGTAATAAATAAAGTAAGTGGGGTAGTTGTGGTATTTTAATTGTTAAAAAATGAAATGAGAAGATCTATTGTGGACAAAGAAAAAGGGCTATTGAGAAGATCTATGAGGGACGGAGGGAGTACTTCTTTTTTACTTTCTGTTGATTTCTTAATAAGCATGCCTTTTCCTTACTGTTGCATTGATGTTGCACCAATCTACTAGTTGAGAGATTTGATTTCCTTGATTACTTGTAAATAGCAATTAACATTTTTCTGCAATTTGTTATATTTGACTGTTTGTCTAAGTTTCCTTATGACATTAACATTGTTTCCTATATAACGCCAAAACTACTATAATAGTAAGATAAGGTGAAATCGAATATATTTGAGAAGTCTTCTTACATCCAACCCATCATCTTTATTGGGAAAAATCAACTCATCTTCTTCAGCCACCCACACTCAGTAATGAGAATGTGTCATATGCTATGCTGTTTCATTGAAGCCATAGTGTTCCCGTTAATTATATTACTAAAGGATGAATCAGGTTTTGTTATTTTTCCTTATTCGTAATTACACAACTCTTTGAAAATAGAAAGAGGAGTAAATTTCTTCATTGTTCAGGTTACTAATTACTCCGTAGTAATTATTTTTTAATTACTAAGTTCTTCTCTATTACTCCCTCCGTCCCACTGTCTTTGTCCACTTACCTTTTGGCACACCATCCAATGCACTTCTTTAATCCATTTTATCTTGTAATTTGTATATTAAAAAATTATAGAAATTATATATTAATAATCTATATGTTAAGACAAACCAAACAAGATCAGACATGACTATATTTAGGCTTACACATTGAGAGAATTTGATGAGTCAAAGTGCTTAGATGAACAGTTCCAAAAGTCAAAAGTGGACAAAGACAGTGGGACGGAGGGAGTATATGGTTATATCTTGCAAATTATTTTGACTTACAGTAGCACATTTTGTGTCTTCAGGTCCATAGACGCAAAGTTCGTGCATGCCAGATGATTTGCATTTTGTCACGATTTGTTGATCAGGATATTGTGCATGGAGTTACACACAATCTTCACGCATGTCTCTATGTAAGATGATTTCTCTTTTCTTTTATAGCCAGTTTATTTTCACAACCTATATTGGAGCTATCAGCTATGCCTGTCACCACAACTGAAACAACAACAACCTTGTTGAATCCCACAAAAGTAGGGTTTGGGGAGGGTGTCTGTATGCAGACCTTTCTCCTACTCGAAAGTAGAGTGGCTATTTCCAAAGAGACCCCCGGCTCAAGCACCACAGGTAATCACGTACACACCCTAAAACCTATGTTTAAAACATAGAGCGGCTGTTTCCGGATGACCTATGATGAGCGTCGAAAGTGGCATTGACTAACTGGAGTTTAAAGAGCCATTAATAAAATAGAAACAGGGTGAAAAAAGTGAATAAAACATGCACATGAATTTTCAAATTACTAAAATTTGGCACTTTGTTCTGCCTTAAGACCAGTTTTATTATACGGATTCTAATGTTATGAAGATCGGATAATGAAAATGAATGTGGCAGAGATGCATGTCACAATGAATGTTTCGTGACTGGTGGGTAGAAATGATAGTGTGCATTGAAGAAATTCATTGAATGGTGGTTGTTGCCACTATTGAAGATAAGGTAAGAAAGAACTAGTTGCGTTAATTTGGGCACTTCAGTTGGTGAGAAGTGCCCATGACGAAGAATGTAGTCTTGTAACGTGGGATCATTGTAAGTTGAAAATAACATAGATTTTTTTTTTTTGGGGGGGGGGAGGGGGAGGAGGCAGAGAATACTGAGTTGTTGTGTAACTTGTGTTTTGGTGAGCATGTGAAAATGTTACATGACCAAAAAATGAATATCAATGAATGCTACCAGAAATTTTTCTTTTTATTCAAGTATCTGGCCCATTTGAACTATGGTTTGTGACGTTTACCCATGGCATCACTTTGACATTTCGACCACTAGGAAAGCTATATTCATAACCATATTAACATTTAACAAAGATTGTTGATGCCACTGATGAACTAAGTGATGAAATCAAGGTAAGTCTCGAAAGCTAAGCATATACCTGAACTAACTTGCAAAGAAAAGGGGGGCGGGGGGTGGTGGATATGAACAATAACAATTACTTGAACGAGAGAGGGCCTGGCCTGTTTTTCTTTTAACTTCTTAACTCTACCTTAAATAGTAACTTATTTTTGGACAATTTTCAGCCACTTTGTTACAAGTTGAATAACTTTTCTATAATTTTGCATGTTAACTACTTCAATTAATGTTAATGTTACACTTTCTCTCTCCCAAAATTATCTTCTCAATTACTATTCATAGGGTCAAACTATATCTTATTTCCTTAAATATTTCCATTCATCATTTGTAAAAATAAAATAATGATGTCACATAAATTAAAAGTGGGCAACTATTCAGGCAGAAGGAGTGTAATGTAAGAACATGTATAATTGAAGGAAATTATGTTTATTTTAGGCAAGGCTACCCAGCAGCTCGTTTGGCTTTGCATGTTTATCATTGTTCTTTATCTCATTGTAGATAAACAATTTGCCTTCTGTTCGGCAGTACTTGGAAACATTTGCAATTCATATATACATGAAGTTTACGTCACTGGTATGAATTTATCCAATCACATATTTTTTCCTATTTTTTCTTTTACTAGCTACAAGAATCAATCTAGACTAATCAATTATGTTGTGTATGGAATTTATCTTTAATTTGATAATATTGCTGTTTTACTTCGTGATACTTATTGAGCTCCCATGTTACTTGCATAGGTTAGGGAAGAATTAGTTCCGCTTCTTCGAGATTCTAAAATGCGACCCCAGGTCAGATAGTTTTTATGCCCTCCATCCTACTAAGAGCTTGTTCTATTTGTCTAATATGATTGGATGTGATTTTGTTTTATTAAGTTTTGGTCTCATCTGATATGATTGAAGTTATATTTAAAGCTGTTTTTTTTATCTGATTTGGTATGATCTCATATCTGATTCCAATAAGAATAAGTAATACCCCCCTCCGTCCCTAAAAACCTTTCCTCTTTCACTTTTCATTTGTTCCAAAAATCTTTCAACTTTCTATGAAAATTCTCTTTTAGCCCTACATATTCTTACCATACATATCGCATCAGATCTATGCTATATTAATCTACCCATCATATCCTATCCTAGTCTAACCATCACATACAAGGGCATTTTTGGCAAGTCAACACCAAAATGCACTCCCCTTAAATCCCTTAAAAGTCAATACAAGGGTTTTTGGGGATGGAGGGAGTAAGTTATAAGAATAAGTTGAAGAGAACAAGCTCTAAGTGTGGGTCAATATAAATGGCACACAAACCTAGGAAAAAGGAATTGTGTGGTTGAGGTTGATATGAAATTTGTAAAGTATGGATTAATTTGAGCCCCATAAATGTTTCTCTAAATATGGCGTGTGCTTTTAATATCAATCTTAAAAGGATAGATAATGTAGATATTTATAAAGTAACACTATTCACATTTTGAGTCATGTTTGACTTCCTAATAACATTTTTTTCTGAAAAATATTTACTGTAGCTTTTTCCAATTTAAAATGATTTGGCACTGCTCATTCACCAGATCTTTCAAAATTCAAATTCAAATGTCTTATCATATACTCCCTCTGAGTAGACCTGTATATGCTTGCACGGAGTTTAAGAAAAGGCAAGGTAAGAGAAGAAAAGTTGGAGTGAGAAATGAAAAAACTGAGGTGAGAGAAGAAAAAAAGGCTAGGTGAGAGAAGAAAAGGGGGAGTAAAAAAAGAAAAAAACTTAAGGTACGAGAAAAAAAGTAGGATATGATAAAAATAATGTGAGGTATGGTGATAGTTTTATAAATATGCATTTTAAGGGAAGGGGACCGGTAATATGAAACAACTTAAAGAGGAAACTGGGACCACTATTATGAAATGGAGGGCGTATGAGTTATCGCTTCATGCATCATGACATGAGTTATGACCTCAAGATCCTCCACTTGCTTCATATTATATACACTTGCAGGCTTTATCTTCTTATGTGTTTATATCTGCTAACATAATCCTGCATTCAACTGGAGCTGCACAATCTGAAAGGCTTAGTGAATTACTTCCTCCTATAATTCCTTTGTTGACATCTCATCATCATACATTGCGTGGTTTTTCCCAGGTCAGTTCCTTTAAAAGATCAGCAGTACTAGCGATGCATGATAGTACAAAAGTATATACTTAACACACATTCATTTATCTATATGTTTAATTTTCCAGCTATTAGTTTACAAAGTCCTGCAAACACTGTTGCCAACAAATGCTAGTTACACTATGGACCTGCCTCTAGAGAGAAAATGCTTTGAGGATCTTAAACTATATTTGAAGAACAATCTTGACTGTGCACGGTAAGAATCAAGTTCATTGTAAATGTCTTAATGTTTAATGTAGGCTAAGCATTTTAATGTGATCATTTTTATATTGTACTCTTCGAATTCTGAGCCTTGTTACTATGCCAAACATCATTGTGTCCTAGAGTTTATAAATGAGCTAGTGCTCCCCTTATGGTTGTTTGTTATGATGTTTGGGGTTCTAGTAAGACCGTGTCTGAAACTTGTTTCAAGCATTTTGTTACATTGTTCGATAATTGCTCTTGCATGACATGAATAAATTTCATTATTTTCATGACATGTCATTCTGAGTTATTTACTCAATTTTATGTCTTTTATTTGTTAAGATTAAAACTCAATCCATTGTATGTGGCCGTAAATGGCAAATATTTATTTGAAACTGCTAGGTCTATTTCATTTCAAACCCAAATGTTTTTGGACATATGCAGTGCTTACTCTTTGTTTTTGATTAGTCAAATGCCTTTTTTGGTACTAAATATTAAAGCCCCTTATCATACACTTTTAGCTTTTTCCCATACAAATCTTTATTTCTTATTGCCCCAAAAATACTTGGTTGCACTTGTTTCATTAGGGATATTCGTTTGCATGCCACCAAATTGAATCCTAAATCTCTAATATTATATTTCATGAAAGAACTAATCATATTAAAGCCCGTTGCCATTTTATTTAAGAGAAGATGCTACAAGGTTTAATTGTCAGAGAATATGTATGCACCACCAGTGAACAAATCGGAGATTTCTCTACAAGAGCTATGAATGGAATTTAAGTTAATTACTTGAAGCATGATTAACTTGTTTGCTACAACTTGAGGGGGTGTGTCACCAGATTTTTACAGTTCTAATAGTTTCAAAATTATCTACATCCATTTCATCTTTATCACATCATCTCTTAGGAGGCTTAGCTTATCATCTTTGTACGAACTGCATATATGGTTCAATTTTTACCAATCATAATTAAAAAAAAAAATAATTCTTAATACTCTTAATAACATCATGGAGAGTGGGTTTCAAAATGAGGGTCTTCCTAGAAAAATGGATCGGGCAGGGAAGATGCTAAGCATATTTGGCATAGCATGACACACAATCACACGCTACTGCAGGTGTTTCAAGGATACACTAGGGGTGGCATTAGGGTGGGTTGGGGGGCAAAGGGGGCGTTGATGGTGGAATAAAAATATACAAGATAAGGTTTGATTAAAATAGTCAACGCTTTAAAGAGCTCATGATGTGCCGTGAGGAGGAGAGTAGGATGAAGAGAACATATAAAGGCGCAAAACAAGATGCATAAAGGAAGTGACATACACAAGTTATATGTCGTATGAGGAAATTTACAGACATTTAGAGACCAAGGATGGTGAAAATGTTATTTACGAACTAGCAAGAGACAGGTGTCAAGGCATAAACATTGTAAGCTCTATTGAGGAATGAGTATTATGAAGGATAAGGCCATTAAGGAGAGATGAAGAGGTTATTTTCAATGCTGTCTGCCCAGGCGTTGGGGAAGGAAATAGACTTGGATGAGGTAGGAGTTACAGTTTCCATACATCTATGAGCAAGGAGATTGACGAGAGCACTAAAGAAGATGTGGGAGAACTAAGGATATAGACCCAGACTTGATTCCCAACCAACTAATACCGATTATCTTATAATACGGGACTGGGAAGCTGTTTTCTATAATAGTTATGGTTAATCATTTATAGATGATATTGTGTCTACTTATGTATGAGGTCTTGATATCCTTAGCTAATAATGTTTTTCTTTGCTGTCATAGGTTAAGAGCTTCAATGGAAGGATATCTTGATGCTTTTGATCCACAGAAATCTATTATGCCAGCTGGAATTTTCAGCACTCGAGTTGAGGTCCGCAAATTACTTGTCCAAAAAAGAGTCATGTTTGTAATACTAAATCCCTGTTACAAAAGACTTCTTTTAGACAGGGATAATGTTAGAATTGGTTGTGTTGTTGAGGGCGCTCAGTTTTATAATATTCGGAACCTGTATTGCTTTCTAGATTTTCTAAATCATGCTCATTGCTCTCTAGAGATTCTAAAACACATGTTAAAATATTTTGTGATGGAAATTTTGAATGGTACAACATCCCAATATAATTTTAACTCTTGGGGTCTTGAGGGTCAAGTACAGTCTTACCCCTGTCAAAAGAGAGAAGTTGTTTCCATTCCTAGATGCATTGCTGGCTTACTGCATTTACTTCCCAAAACTTCATAGAAAATAAGAAGAAAGGGAAATTTAATGTGTGATTTGATTTAGTACATTAAATCATGGTGAGTAAGAGATCACTTTAAATATAAGAGCAATGCAAAATTGAATTTTTGGGTGATCTTCCATGATATCGCTTCTTATTTTATATTATTGTTTCTTTTATTTAACAAACATTTCCAAGAAGAAATCCATGGTTTCTATCAAGAAGACATTCTTGCATGTGTTCTGGCCTTTAAATTCAAACTGTACTTTTATAGCATCATTCTTTTTATTCCCGTCATTTTTATTTTTAAGGTGTATGGTTGCACTCTATAGTCAATGTTTTCTCTCTTATTCTTTAATGCTAACACCCCCCCCCTCCATTCTCTCTCTTTATTTTTTGAAGGATCTTGAGTTTGAATGCGTGCCGGTAACCCTTATGGATCGTGTAATAAGTTTCCTAAATGTAAGTACCAAACTAATATTATTTTATTTCTCCACATTCTCTTTAACTTACCTGTTACCACCTTCATTACAGGATGCTAGGGATGACCTTAGGTCTTCAATGGCTAAGGATGTTACAACTATCAAGGAAGAAAGTTTACGTATTAACGAGGATGTTAGGTGCAATGAGTTGTCCGTAAATCTATCAGTTAACCCGCCGATGTCTTTTCCAGAGGATTTATCATTTGATTTTCAGCGAAAACTTACCTTTTCCAAGCATGAGATGCAAGACTTGACTTCAACTATCTCCTTGGATGATAAAGGATCATATCAATCGCTTCTTGGTATGCAATAGTTAATATTAAATTTTCATATTTTGCATCAAAGTTATGGTCTTCCATTCTTTATTACATGAGTGTGCAATTTTGCTAATCTGACTGTCCCTTTGCGATCAGAAGCTGTTTCTTTCCCACTAAATAAATTGAATCTTGTTTCTATATTTCAAGTACAACAACCAATAAGCAGAGAACATAGTCTCCTACTATTGTGGGTTCCATGGTGGTTTTGAAACATAAATTTTGTCTTTATGTTTCGTGGTGGTTTGGAAAAAGCATCTCTACTTTCGAGTAGGGGTAAGGTCTGCGTACACACACCCTCCTCAGACCTTACTTTTGTGGGATTCTATTGGGTTGTTGTATGTTTCATGATGGATGTAGGGAATGAATGGCAAAAGAAATTGCTGACAATCCTTCTCCCAATCCTCTCTTTCCAAGCGCTAAGTATTCTCAACTTGTTTTTATGTTTTATTGAAAATTGAGGTGTAGAGAGGTTTGCACATGTACTTTTAATATGGTTGACACAATAATTTGTACAGGATGCAAAAAACACAAGAAAATCAAGATGAAAAATATTTTCCCTTCCCATTGTCGCACAAACTATTGAATCTCTCTGTGAACACGTGTAAAGCATGTAAAGCTGATTAGGCGATGAATTGTATAGAAATTGCTGACAATTTTCTCCAAATAATTTTTTGTATTGTAAAAGTTAAATGTCTTGATGAACATACATAGTTTTGAAGATTTGTCTTAATGTTAGACTTCTGGTATTAATACTTCAGAACAAATGTTATTTCTTCATTAGTATTCCCCATCTATTTGTGTTATACAGACATGGAAAAGGAAGACCAGCTTCTTGATAAAGCCCTACATATAAGAACTGTAGCTTTTGAGAAGCTCAAGAAAAGTCGACAAGATATTATCCTTGTAGCATCACTTATTGATCGAATACCTAATCTTGCTGGTTTAACACGGACTTGCGAGGTGTGTGATATGTTTTAGTGTTTGGACCTTCGTTAGCTCACCCTATGAAAAATTTTTAGCTGCTGCATTTGGGAACTCTTTTCCCCTGTAATGATATCCTTGCAGGTATTTAGAGCAGCCGGACTAGCGATTGCAAACAAAGATGTACTAAAAGACAAGCAGTTTCAACTCATCAGGTTTGATAAACCTGTCGGTCGTTCTGGTTTTCACCTTTTATGTATTGAAATAATGTTAGTCTCACCCCCACAGCATAGATTTAAGAAAAATACGAATGTTGTTAGGGCTCTTTTCTAGAAGTTCTCAACTTTGAGAAGATTGTGTAGGGGTCATGTATTATGCGGACAAAGTATTGTAGAGGTCCTTGTACTATCTAAATATGTTCAAGTTAGTAATTGTACTCAAAATTGAAACAATTTAGTCCCTGCACTATTTTTTTGTTCAATGCACTTACTTCCTATCCATTGCCCCTAATTCTTAGTAATCACGTCTAATTTTACAATAGATGACAAACTCATGCAATAGAAATATTGTCTTGGCATACTATTTTAATTTTCTTTTGTAATATTAGTCATTATATATATACAATTTTTTCCCTATTGTTTACATAAAAGAAAAAAAAACAAATGCATATTGCACTTCGGTTCATACCAAACCTGAACTTCCGCACTGTTCTTTTTGCGAAATGTGTGTTCATACTTTTTAAAAGATTTAAAAGCAAAGTTAATATCCGATTTAATCCCTTGAACTTAAATTTTTCGCCCATGAAATTTGAATTCAATTTAGTTATGTGTATTCGGTTGTAAATAATAAGGGTTTATTGGTCTTTTCACAAATATTTGACCCAATTTCTGGCCCAAGTTGGCCCTCAACTTTTGAATTTTGACCCAATTTCGCCTCACCATATTATCTTTCTTAACTAGAAAGGTCAATTAAGGGTAAATGCATACTTTGCCAAATTGAGTCCAAAAGAAGCATGATTATCAAATTGAGTATTATTATAGTCTATTGCCTACGGACCCATTCAGGTTTTTTCCACAGTTATTTACTGTTTATTGTCTGTCTTTATATTTTGTGATGAGTACTGCTTTTTTACATTGATTTTTTCATTTTTGTAGTGTTACTGCTGAAAAATGGGTCCCCATTCTAGAAGTGCCTGTAAGTAGTATCAAAACATTCTTAGAGAAGAAGAAGCGCGAGGGTTTCTCCATTTTGGGTCTGGAGCAGACTGCAAACAGCATATCTCTTGACCAGTATGTCTTTCCCAAAAAGACGGTATGCCACTGATACGCCAACAATTATAACCCATTTGGAATTTCATCCTCTTCCTCTCAGTCTCGTCATTCCGTTTCTTAAAACCAAATACTCCCTCCGTCCCTAAATAAATGTCGTGGTTTCACTTTCACGGAGTTTAAGAATAAGTGAAATTTATAGTGGAAGTTGATTGCAGAGGAGAGAGGAATAATGTGAACCACACAATTCTTTCCTCAAATGGAATGAGACATTTATTTTGGGACATCCAATTATGGAAAACAAGATATTTATTTAGGGATGGAGGGAGTACTAATTTATTGGAATCATGAAGATAAATGATGTATCTACCCTCATATTTTAAATATTATCTAGTATTTCTTTTAATCTTTTAAAAAATACTCTTAAATAAATGTAAGCTATGTTTCCCATTCAGCTCAGCCTGTCAGGTCACTTCCACTATCAATACCAACAACCTATCCAGCATCGTCATTTTCAGTCATTTCAGCCAAATGGGCGATTAATCAACATGTTTATCTCATACATAATACTTGGAAATAAATTTAGACATGTATTATCGGAAATATTATTAGGAAGATCCCGATTTCTATGCACACTAAGTAACATATTATGGTCACTACCAGGGTGTCTATGCTTATTATTACGTGAGACATGCTATGCTCGTTATTTAACTAATAGGGTGTTAGCACCAGAGTGCTCCCAATAATTTCTCGTTATATCACAAATATTAAAAAATGAAATGAACCAATATGGTTCATAGCTCTGTTCCCAAAAGGAAAAGGTTTGATTAATTAGGAACAATCCAAAAAGAAAAGGGGAAGATCCCTTGATCTTTAAATCCAATCAGTCCATTCTGGCATGTCACTCTGGATAAAATGGGCTACGAATCATTACTTTCCATTTCTTGCATTCAAAAGTTTGATAACACATACAATTTAATTTGATTTGTATCACATTTGCAGGTTCTGGTCCTTGGCCGAGAGAAAGAAGGTATACCAGTGGATATTATCCATATATTGGACTCTTGTATTGAGATACCTCAGCTTGGAGTGGTTCGTTCTCTCAATGTCCATGTCAGCGGCGCCATTGCTCTTTGGGAATATAGTCGCCAACAAAGATCCCAAAAACCTCTTTCATAGAACAATTTGTGATTCTCGTTTTTTTGTTATTTGTCGGTCACAACGAGCTTTCGAGTCTGTTTTAATCAGAGTTAAGTGTGGGTAAAATTGAAGGGTGTTTGTTGTTCGGTCACAACGAGCTTTCGAGTCTGTTTTAATCAGAGTAAAGTGTGGGTAAAATTGAAGGGTGTTTGTTGTTGGGATAGTGAAGTTGAATGATCTGTCATTGTAGTGAAATAAAAATTGTACTCTAGTTAAATGTTTTACTTAGGGGGGGCGTTTGGCAAGGACTACTTTGGGAGGGTTTTTGTGAAACACGAGCACAATCGTTCGGAAACTTGGTTTTCAGTCACGAAAAACCCGTTTTAAAAATGTTTGTTTTTTCAAGCTTTTTGGAGTAGCCGTTTTTCTAGGCTGGTTTTTTTGTTTATTAAAAAAAATATTGTATTTTGAGCTTAAAAATGTTCCTAAGCCAGCCTGAATAAATAGTACAGAGTAGTAGGTAACTTAAAGGGTTAAGGTTTTGTTTGGTACACGGAATTCAAATTATAGAATTGAACTTGGGAACAAAAATTTTAATTCTGTTGTTTGTTAGCACAAAAAAAATGTGGATTTGGAATTGGTAGTGTCAAAAATAAATTGGAATTAGAAAATTCAATTCCATCCAAGCCAATTCCATAGAATTTTAACTTCTAATTCAATTTCAATTCCGTAATTGTGTGTACCAAGCGAACCTTAAGTATTCTCGAAAATCTAATGTCATGTTTCCAAATTTGCATATTGATTTTTCGGTATCAATGTTGCAATGAAACATGACTATAGTATCTTTTCGAACCTTCTATTACAATTCGTTTCTTGCTGCGCCTATATGGTAGGTGGCATATTATTTAACTCATTTCTTCGTTACTGCTCTGTTCCAATTTAAATCGTTTGTTTTGATTTACGATATTTGAATGAATTTTTTTTTAAATTATTTTAAATATAAAATAGTGTAGGATTAAAAAATAAAAATTACATGTTTAAAAACTTCACCAAAAGATCTATGTGACATACATATATTTTGTTATCAAATGACTAACAAAAATTAGAAATAAAAATATATTAAGTTTGACCTGTGAATAATAAACTTGCAATTTAATTTGAGATGGAGGGAGTAATAATTTTTCTCTTAAACCGCACGCCTAGAATGTTCCCATTTTGTGAAAGTTATCAGCCTTATACTATAATGCAAGCACTCACACACAATCACTATTATTATTTTAAGAGTTACATATGTTTTTATTCTTTGTAAAATAGGTTTTTGGATTCCTATAAAAAAATATTTTGTTAAGTCATTTATACATGTTTTTTTATTTATAAAATGGTCCTCAAGTATAATTTACACTTCTAATTTGTTAGGATATCATTTTTATTTTGTACCATTAGATACTAGATATCTTAGTCTTGCATTTCTATTGCCTCCAACACTGTATTTTTGGGGATACAGTATAATGAAGTTTGGAAATTAGGAACGTAATTCCATGAAAGAAACGATTTAGGGTATGGAAATTGTGTGTGACGTATTTATAAATGAAAGATTAGAATGGTGAGTATAAAATAAAGGTATTACGCCAATAAATTAGAGAAGCTAACTATGATAAAGAATGATTCTCAAAATAAAAAAATGTGAGGATGACTTAATAATTTTTTATAGGGACCAAAAATAAAATTTACTTATTTTACAGTGACTAAAAATATATTTAATTTTAATATTATCGTAATAAAAATATTATTACTATTACTATTACTATTATTATTATTTGGAACCATTTTGCATTTTAGAAATTCCTTTTATAAAAAAATAAGTTTAAATGTCAATTAAGTTTTTTTAAAAAATCATGTTACGCATTCATATTTAAAATGCTTATAACTTATATCCATAATATTTTAATTTTTTCATCATATTGTTATTATTAAAGGAGCGTCTAAAATGACACCAGTTACTTATACACCAGTTACTTAGCCCAGCTCGTTTGCGGTACCTAAGGTGCCCTGTTTACTTCGAATGTTGCGCAATTTTTTAGAGAAGTAAAGAAGTCTCTATAATTATGTAGAAGAGAGAAGAACCAAGAAGGCTTCTTACGAGTGCGAGGTTTAGAAACATGTTCTCAATACAAAGTGTGAAGTGTGCTACGCGTATAATTGTAATTTCTCTTGTATATTTCTCCATATAATGGTATAATATAAAGTTATTTTTGAAGTCATGTTTTTATATTATTCAGTGTGTGTGTACGTGTACAATAATTTGATTGTGTGAATCGGGGAAAGAGGTCAAGAAACATATCAATTCCCCAACACAGTGTTAGTACTTAAGTAGTTTTAGATAATCATTTATCTGGATAAAATTAACTTAGAACAATAATTGGTTCATTAATGTGGTGTCATCAAGGACCTCAATTAGCAAAGATTAATGTGATTATATATATATATATATATATATATACATATATATATATATATATATATATGTATGTATATATACACGGTAAGTCTAAAATGACACTAGTGCTACTGGTGTCATTTGCTTACACCAGTTCGTTTGGGACACCTACGGTGCTCCGTTTGTAAAAACGACGGTTCCTACCCCCCCTAACCCTCCCCCTAAACCCCCCACCCCAGCCCCACCCTTGCCCCCCC